TTGTTATGCATCAGAGAGTTGGACAATGACTAGGGAGGATAGAAGGAGAATTGATGCCTTTGAGCTGTGGTGGTGAAGAAGAGTATTGAGGGTACCATGGCCTGCTAAGAAAACATTCATCCTGGAGAGGTTTAAACTGGGCTGCTCCTTGGAGGCAAGGATTCTGAGGCTTTGTCTGACATACGTTGGTCGTGTTGTAAGGAGAGACTGGTCATTGGACAGGAACATCATGCTTGGGAGGGTGGAGGGCAGGCACAGGAGAGGAAGGCCCTCTATGAGGTGGATTGATTCAGTGACTGGCGTAATCAGTATTGGTGTGTCAGAGACAGATTGGCACAGGACAGAGTAGAGTTTAGGGCTGTTGTACATAGGGTTGCTATGAGTCGCAAGCGACTCGATGGCACATAACAACAACAATAATTTGTTCTTAGCTGTAAGGGAACTTCAGGGGTTAGTTTTGGTTCAAGATTGGAAGAGTATCTTGAGGAAGTACTTCTGAGAAGCCTTCTGGTCTCAACCAGCCCTGTAAGTACAGCAGTTGATGTTTTGTTTTATCTTAGGGATTTGAGGTTCTTTTCTATGTTTTTCTTTTATTCTGTCCAGGTCTGTCTGCTATGGTCCTTTTCAGAATGGCCAGCAGTGGTAGCCAGGCACCATCTAGGTCCCAGAATGGTCAGTGTTGGTAGCTGGGCACCATCTTGTTCTTCTGAACTTAGAGTAGATGAGGCCTTTGTTCATGTAGGTGATTTGTCCTGCAGACTAGTTTCTATAAATATCTTTTTTTAAAATAAATTAAAAAGGAAAGGCAAACTTAAAGCAGACAGAAAGAAAAAATAATAATAAAAAGTCAATGAAAGGAAAAGTAAAAATAACATGGGAATACAATAAATCACCAACAAAATGCAATAATTTCTAGCTAGACCAGTGAAGGGGAAAAAAAGGGGATACAAATGAACATTAAAATGAAAGAGGAGACATACAGATTCTACAGACACAAAAAGAATAATTATGGCAACAATGAATGAATGGAAATCCAAAATCTCTGTAAATGTTCATTAAAATGAATAAAATTTTTTAAAAAAGCAAATCTTGTACAGGAAAGACTCTTAAAAGAATGAGCTGTGCCTTATTATATATTCATATTTCTTTCACTAAAAAAATATAGAGGAGCAAGGATCTTATTTGAAGAACACAGCCCTTGCAGGAAAGCACTAGAAGAATAATTAGACTGACTTCATTCTCTTCCATCTGATCTCTAGCTGAAGTGTTTACCAGTCCTTGCTGGAAGCCACAGCGTATGGGGCACTGTTGCAGTAATCACACAGATCAACTTTCGTGGACCGAATGCAAGACAGAGATAGAAAAGCAAACGGGAGACAGTCCCCGCAGGTCCTAACTGACCTCCCTGCTGCTGTCCTTACCTCTATCTCCCTGAGTACATACCTCCCAGGACCCAGAATTCTCCTTAAAAATTACTTACTTTCCGCTTAAAACCCTACAGCTCTTCCCAGTCCCCCTAGAATTCCAACAAACTGCATTTTCATGCCTAAAAAAAAAAGAAGAAGAATAAATATGGACTAGTACAAGTGTTGCACAATGAATAAGGATGACAGAAGAAGAATTGATGCCTTTGAGCTGTGGTGTTGGAGATCACTGAACATCCATAGATACCCAAGAGAACAAACATGTGTCTTGAAGAAGATGCAGCCAGAGTCTTGGGAGGCAAAGATGATGAAACTTCATCTCACACACTTCAGGAATGTTGCTAGGAAAGACTGTTCCTTGGAGAGGGACATCATGCTTGGTAAGGTGGAGGGTCAGCGGAAGAGAGAATGACCTTCAGCCAGATGGATTGACCCAGTGACTGCTGTGGTATGTCAGAAACTCCGAGGATAGGACACAGGATAGGAGAGGACTCAGATCTGTTCACAGGGTCGTGATGAGTTGTACTTGACTTGATAGCACCTAACAACAACAAAGCCAACAACTTACATGAACTTTGTTGAAAGATTCATTACCAAAGCTCAGTGCAAAAGGAGAGATTGTCTGGAGTGCTATGTGGCTTCAGAGAAAGGAAACTGCAGCCATGTGTTTCTTGCCAAGTTTAAGTGACTCACGGGGAGAACTCTACCCAACATTCAAGGAAGAAATTGTGCCATTTTACGAAAACTGACAAGGAGGAATACTTTTCAATTAATTTTCTAATAATGTGTTTTAAATTTTGTCTAATAGGCTTCAGATCTTGGCTGAAAGATCAAGAGAGTACCAGAGGAATGTCTGTGTTTCCTTGATTATGCAAAGACATTTAACTGTATGGATCACAACAAACTGTGGCTGATTCTGAGAAGAATGGGAATCTCAGAACACTTGATTGTGCTTATGCGAAACCTGTACTTGAACCAGGAGGCTCTCAACAGAACAGAGCAAGGAATCACTGCATGGTTCAAAATCAGGAACTCCCAGGGTTGCTTCCTATATCTATACCTTTTTAATCTATATGCAAAACAGATCACCTGGAGGTTGGGCTCTATGAGAAGGAGCGTGACATCAGGATTGGAAGAAGACTCATCAACGACCTGCGTTATGCAGATAACATAACCTTGCTTGCCAAAACTGAGGACCTGAAACAAGGACGGCAGCCTTCAATATGGATTGATCCTCAACATCAAGAAAACAAAGATTTTCACCATTTGGCCAATTGGCAGCATCATGATAGACAGCAAAGCAGTTGAGGTTCTTTACAGCTTTAGTTTGGTTGGCTCCACAATCAACACTCATGGTACCAGGAGCCAGGAGATCAAAAGATGAATTGCATTGGGAAAATCTGCTGTCAAGAACCTCTTCAGAGTACTGAAGAGCAACGATGTCAGATCTTCACAATTACTTGCTGTGCATCAGAAAGCTGACAATGACGAGGGATTTTAGAAGGATAATTGATGTCTTTGAATTGTGGTGCTGGAGAAGAGTATTGAACATGTCATGGACTTTTAGAATAAATAGATTTGTCCTGGAGAGGGGGAAGCCAGGCTGCTCACTGGAGGCAAGTGTTCAGAGGCTTCGTCTGACAGACTTTGGACATGGTGCAAGGTGGGACCAGTCCTTGGAGAGGAACGTCATGTTTGGGAGGGTGGAGGGACAGTGCAGGAGAGGAAGATCCTCGATGAGATGGATTGACTCAGTGACTCGGGTAATGGGAGCAGGTGTGTTGGAGATAATGAGGCTGGCTCAGGATGGAGCAGGGTTCCAAGCTGGTGTACACAGGATCACTATGAGTTGCAGGCGACTTGACAACACTTAAGAACAAAAACAATAGTAGGCTTTGTGTGTTAGAACAGCTTTGGCTTTGTAGGAAGACTGCAAAATGTACCATTTCTTTTCTCTTGCACATTGTTTTCCTTCTAGCCCAATTCCGTTTTGAAGCCAACCTTACCTTGATAAAATAGCAAGAAAAGTCCAGATGATTCCAGACCTTCTTGTGTTGAGGTAAAAGATCCTCAACAAAATACTAGAAATTCACGTTTGGTGATACCTAAAAAAATCATGATCAAATAGGGTTTATTCCAGGAATGCATGTTAGCTCAACATTAGAAAAATAATCAATGTCATCACCTGTATCAACAGACTTGAGCAAGGCCATGTGATCACCTCACTAGGTAAAAAAAATATTCTTGGAGAAATATATCATCCAGTCATGATTTTACAAAAATCTTAGGAAACTAGCAAGAAAACTTCTTTAATACTTTAAAAAAGAGCTTTACAAAAACCTTATAGTTAACAACATGCTTAGTGACACAAGACTGAACACAAGGTATTCACTGAAGATGGAGAAACAGCCAAGTCCCTGTGACCCCTGGAGCCCAGCAACACGCTGCAGGGCTTAGGGCAGTAAAGGGAAAGGGGAAAAACCCCACTAGAAGGTCCGCTTTGAGCTATTGCAACCAACATCAAGGAGTGAGTAATGAAAACTGGAAATGAAAGCCAGTAACGTGTACACTAGTACTAAAAATCATTAAATAACCTAATAGAATTGGATCTCTACCTGAAAACTGATACATGGATGAGCATGTAGACCTATGATTTTATTTTACTTAATATATATTTTATTGGCTTTAAACTCAAAATTTATTACTGTTGCTTTGGAAGGGACTGGTAACTGGCCCTCTAGGGTTTCCAAAGCTAGAAATAGCATGGAGGAGATTGCCGATCTGTGTGGCCTTGGGATTAGCAGATAAGCTCCCTACACATGTGCCAGTGGAGCTCCCTTTTATTGGATTAGAAGATAATTTTGTTTAAATGGGCAATTATCTTCAAATTATGCAGCAGTACAATTCCAATATAAATCCCAACAGGCTTCTTCTTTTTTTTTTTCCTGAGACACACACAATCTGATTATAAAATGATATAGACAAGGAAAGAAAGTAGAATAAATAGAATCTTAGATGTGACGCCAAAGGCCCCATACGGGAGGAGATTGCTAAATCAGACACCCCCAGATTAACAGCTTCCCTGTGAAAGCTGCAGACTGACAGCACACACCTGGCAGAGGCGAATGCTGGGAGGCAGATCTGTGGATGCAAGGTGGGGTGGGAGGGATGGAGAGCGGAGAGGGGCCACAGATGCAGGGAGGTGGGTGTGGGTTGCCAGGCAGTGGGGCCAGGAGTGTGGGGAAGTGGGTACAGGGTGTGAGGAGGCAGATCTGGGGGTTCAGGGAGGCAAATCCCTGGGTATGAGGTGGCAGGCTTGGGGATGTGCGGGTGCAGGGATGTTGATCTGGGGATGTGGAGGAGACCAGTGGGGCAGAGGCACGTCGAGGTGCTGACAGTCTGCTGTCTTGAATGATAGGAGAGGCTGCTATGTCCTCAGGCAGCAGAGGGGGCACTGGTGACTAACGGGTGACTAACGGGCTCTTGTCCTAGGGCCACGCTGCCTCCTACAAGACCGTGTCTGCGCGTGCTGCTGTGGCCTCCACTGTCCTCCGGCTGCCTGCTGAGGCCCTGCAGGGCGTGTTCCAGAAGTATCCCGAGACCCTTGTGCGGGTGGTACAGGTGGGTGTGGGCAGCCCCCCTTATGGCTCCACTCAGGGTGCCTGGGAGAAGATACCTGGTTTTGAGGTCAGTCCTATGCTCAGGCCCTGATCCACCTGGGAATCTCCAGGAGGGGGCTGTGGAGGAACCTGTTGCAGAAGCCTAAGTTCCCAGTGTCAGAGGGTGGTTAGGAGGGCCATGCACTCAAAGACGAGATACTATCACACTTGCTACTTTGGGGCGGTTTTAGGTCGAGGGACTTGCATGAATGGTCCCATTGCCCATGTGCCCCACAACTGCTGGTATGTCAGCTGGTCACAGGTCAGTCCACATCTGGAGGGGCACTGGGCTGCTGACACTGTTGCTGTCTTGCTCAGCACATTGGTTACCATGGCTTCTCACAGATCATCATGGTGCGGCTACAGCGTGTGACCTTCATGGCCCTGCATAACTATCTGGGCCTGACCACAGAGCTCTTCAACCCGGTGAGTGTCCACATGCCTGCCTGCCAGACTCCTGTCTGGGGTGCACAAAGCAGATATGATTCATATGTTGGGGTGCTCTTGGTGAAGGCAGGGCTCCTGCTCATATGTGACAGCTTGTCCCTCCTGTCCTGTCACCTGCATTGGGTGAAGTTACCTTGGTGTGGGACTGGTTCCTCACCTGTCCTCACTAGGAGAGGCAGCCTCCAAGCTCCCATCACCAGTACATGAACATTTCCATACCCAAACACTGTCTTCAACCCACTCCCTCCCAGCTCGCAGTGCCCAGGATCTACGCTTCCTCCTTCCTATCAGCCCACCTGGCTGGACCGGGCTGGTCCTGACCCTGGGACTGTGGTGCTGCAGTCCACTTGGGAGGGCTGCTGGTGATGGCAAAGGTTCAGGTCACACCTCAGCCTCCCAGCCAGCAGCTGTGACTCCTGCCATCACAGTACTGTGACAGTGGACATGAAGTTGTCTGTTCCTCGTCTGCACACAGCCTCAGCCTGAGCAGGCAGGCGACGCTGGACTCCAGAGCCCGGGCACTGAGACTAAAGCTGGCCTGTGTCCTCAGCAGTTCCCTTACCACCCACTGGCCTTGGCTGTGTCCTCTGTGGCCACTGCAGAGTTTAGGCATGTTGACCCACCTCTCATGTCCCAGGAGAGCCAGGCCATCCCTCTCATATCTGTGGCCAGCGTAGCCAAGAGACAGATGTCGAGTAGCCTGGACCCGCAGCCTGAGCAGCCTCTGCAGCCTCAGGAGGCCGCTGACCCAGGTATGACCCAGGGGCCCTGGCGATCTGGGTCTCTGCCCCGTGACCTCAGTCTCTGGACTGCACAAGTGGGGAGGCGTTTTCCCCCGTGGGCCCAAGGGGGCCCTTCATAGGGGCCCCAGGTGGTGGCTATGCATGGTGGCCACGCGTGGTGGCTTTGTATGGTAACCCTGTGGGCAGAGACACTGACCTGGACTGTGCAGTATTGATCTCTATACCCTTGGAGCTGTCTGCACATGAGGACACACTGCTTCCCTCGTGTCCTCTCCCAGATGGAGAGTGTGTCCCTGTGTTGGTCTCCCAGCCCCTGATGCGAAGGAGTCTGTCTGTCCCATTGCCATCAGCATATGAGGATGCCAATTTCCTGGTCCCAGAGAAGCTCCAGAAGACCATGGTTGGCAGGTTTGGCCCTACAGCCTCACCAGGTATGGGTCTTGTCATCTGATCTAGAATGTGTTTCTGTTCATCTGGACAGTCCTTGGAGGCCACCTTGACATTGACTGTGGATGGGCCAGAGCCCAGTGTCCACAGTAGACTCACAGTGGGTGTATATGAACTCTCTTGTTCTCTTGTGATCTTGTGCCCTGCCATTGCCTCCAAGCCCATGCTTGTCACCTGGCACCTCTGCTGGAGCCAGTCCCTCCTCCAACATGTCATCCCCACCTGTGAGTCACATTCCTAGCTGCTATGTCCATCAAGGTCCAAGGACACTCCTCTCTCTCACTCTCTGCCCTTCCTTCCTGCTTCTCCTCTCTTGGAGCAGAGCTCGTCCACTGTTAACCCCATGAACTTCCCCACGACGGTCCTGTGATGTCTTTATGATCATCCGAATGATTGCCCATGACTGCCCCATTCCCACAATGACCATCCTGTGATCTTCTTGATGATATTCTTGTAATCGCCCCCAGATCTTTTCAGTGTTCATTCCCACATAATCATCCTCATTTTTCCCATGATCATCCTGTGATCTCTCCTTAACTGTCCCCACAATCTCTCCCATTATGTTTCTGGTGAACCCCCATTACACCACGCTCCATCAGACTGTTGTGTTGGTGCTGACCAGATGCCTGGCCTCCTACTGCTGTGGCAGAAAATGTGAGATTTTTAACACTTGGCCGATGTTGGAGATCAGCAAAACTTTTATTGAATGTGTTCACAGCTTTAGTTTGCTTGCCTCTACAGTCAACACTTTTGGCACCAGTAGCCAGGAAATTAAAAAGACGTATTGCCATGGGAAAGTCTGCTGTTAGGGACCTCTCCAAAGTACTGAAGAGCAATGGTGTTTCTCTGGAGAGTAAGATCTGTCTGATACAGGCCATGGTCTTTGCTATCACTTGTTATGCATCAGAGAGTTGGACAATGACTAAGGAGGATAGAAGGAGAATTGATGCCTTTGAGCTGTGGTGCTGGAGAAGAGTATTGAGGGTTCCATGGACTGCTAGGAAAACAAACAGATTCATCCTGGAAAGGGTTGAAACTGGTGGCTCCTTGGAGGCAAGGATTCTGAGGCTCCGTCTAACATACTTTGGATATATTGTAAGGAAGGACTGGTTCTTTCAGAGGGACATCATGCTTGGTAGGGTGGAGGGACAGCGCAGGAGGGGAAGGCCCTTATGAGGTAGATTGATTCAGTGACTGGGGTAATCGGGATGGGTGTGTCGGAGGCAGTGCGATTGGCACAGGACAGAGCAGAGTTTAGGGCTGTTGTACGTAGGGTCGCTATGAGTTGCAAGCAACTCGACGGCACATAGCAACGACAACAATAGTCAAGAACGTCAGCTAATGCTCAAGCTATTCCAACGCTGAGAGGAAGCAAAGGTGCTATTTATATAGAGACTGGGCAATGGGGGGGTTTCACGGTGTTCTCTGCGGTTGGCAGTTGAGATTTTGTCACATTCAGGAGTCATCATTTCAGACTTCTCATGGGTGTCCATTCTCCAGGCCAGGTGCAGAGGGAGTGGTAACCAAGCCGGTCTGCTTGTACTGGAACATAAAGCTTAGTAAAACGTGTTACTGCCGAAAGCATTAAGGCATACGTTTCTTAAAATGGCTTCTCCGAAGCTTAACATTTGGAAACAGAAGTGGTGTCCACTTCTAAACAACATGCCTCTAGAAACTCTATGAATTTTGAGAAATTACAATAGTTATTAGAAAGGCTTCAGGTCTTTTGTTCATAGGGTCACTAAGAGTCATGCTTGACTCAGTGGCAATCTACAGCAACAACAACAACAGTGCTTAACGTGGAGCTCTAGTGGCCTAGTGGCAAGAAGCTGCACTGCAATCTGGAAGGCGCATGTTCAAGGCCACCAGCTGTTCCGCAGGCTAAGGACAGACAGGCAGTCTCCTCCCGTTTGATTAACTGCCTCTGAAAACCCACTGGAGGGTCAGCTCTGGGTCGGTTCCGACTCGACGGCACACAACAACTGTGCTTAACACATAAGCTGCTGCTACGCTGTGTCCAGATGCATTTTTCACTCTTTTCCCATGTGGCTTGTGCATTCCTTTGAAAAATCTCTCCTCTTGTGCGTGTTTTAGATCATCGTTAGTTAGCAGCCTCCTCGTGCATTTAGTGGATCCTTTAAGAATTGCATCTTTAAAAAAAAAAAAAAGAATTGCATCTTTAAGCCCTTTGCCCATCTCCCATGCTACTAAGGTAGTGTCTTCAGGCTTTGTCTGTCAAGAGGTTGTGTAGACCATTGTACCTCCAGGAGAAGAGCCTGTCTCCTCAGCTTTGCGTCCTGGTGTCCTGGCATCTGTCTGGCCATATTTATCTACTTCCTGGATGTTGGATCTGTTTCATATTTCAAAAAAATTTTCTTTAAGGGACACTAATCTAATCTTGTTAAGATAACAAAGACAGTCCTTTCCCAGTTGGGATTATAACCACAGAATTAGAGGTTAGGATTTATAGCACGTATGTTGGCAGACAAAATTCAGTCTCAGAAACCAGTCCTTTGATGGTGAACCTTGGACAACATTGGCCTGAACGTGTGCACCGTGAGCACCTGGTCCCAGGAGAGCACTGAGCACTGACTGGGCGACGGGATTGGCCTCCCTCACCATCTTTCCTTGGCTTTTGTTTAAGTCTGAGCATGTCACCTTGTAATATTTTCTGTAACTTCTGAAACCAGCATTTAGTGGATGCTCGAAGCTAATTTAAAGCACCTGTGTGGAGTCTTTGTGGTCGTTGCATGAATACTTCCTGCCCGTGGCACACACACTTCTGTCTGCGGCATGGGCACTTCCTGTGGCACACACACTTCCTGTCTATTACATGGACACTTCCTGTGGCTCATACACTTCCTGCCTGTGGCACACACACTTCCTGCCCGTGGCACACACACTTCTGTCTGCGGCATGGGCACTTCCTGTGGCACACACACTTCCTGTCTATTACATGGACACTTCCTGTGGCTCATACACTTCCTGCCTGTGGCATACACACTTCCTGCCTGTGGCTCATACACTTCCTGTCTGCAGCATGGGCACTTCCTGCCTGAGCGTGTATCTTCATGGTCTGCAGCCCATGTTCTCAAGTGTGTGGTCAGGTGCACCTGATGGTGCTGGACAGACACTTGGACTGCCACTGGACCGAGGTGCCATTCTTTCTGTGCCTGCAGAGGCCAGTGCCCAGGAAGGCCTGCTCTGACCCTGGCTGCATGGGCTGGCTTCAGGTCCAGTATTTCAGATGGAGCAGTGCTCAGTAACTGCTTTGAGACACGAGACACGGATGCACTGTGTGTGGCTGTTGGGGGAGGACATGCAGGACAGTCTGTGTGTGGCATCCACTGGGCCTTGCACCAAGCATACCTCCACACCTCAGCTGCCCTTCCTCGCCTGCCCATGGCCTCACTGTCCCCACATCTCTGCCTGCACAGACTACAGCAGCCAGGGAGATGGCTAGAGGGAAGCTTCAGGGGAGGTACTGCTGAGGGTGCAGGTGGCCGGCCCAGGAGCCGAGTCCCGGCCCAGGAGCCGAGTCCCAGCCCAGGCCCAGGCCTGGACGTGCCCTGCTCAGAACCTGGCTGTGGCACCAAGAGGCATGATGGCACCTCATGGACTCTGTGTGTCCGTTAGATCTTTCGGGTGCTTGGCCATCTGGAGTGGGCCTGATGTCTGTAGCATCCCCTCTTGTCCCAGACCTCACAGTGAACATCTCCTCAGACGTGCAGGCTTGTGACCTTGCCCGGGGCTTCTCACACACGGACGAGCATGCCCGGAGCTCTTTGGCTGGCAAGGTGGGTCCCACGGCCCTCCAGGTGGGAGGCCAACGTCTGCGTGTCCCAGACTTATTTTTGTAATGCTGGGTCTTCTTTCCCTTAAGTCCAAGAAAAGCGTGGTCTTGTCTGAGGCCCCATCTACAGTCTTCCATTACTCAGAGAGTCCCTCTGATCAGGCTTTGGCTGGCCAGAAGACGGATGCCATCCTCAGAGCTGCCAAGAAGGACCTGCTCACCCTGATGAAGCTGGATGTGAGTCAGACGTGGGGAGGTGGAGTGTGCATGTGGGCAGGGGTTGGTGGGCATGGCACAGGGGGGCTAGGTGTATTGGGCATGTGGGAGGGTGTGTGTGTGGACAGGAATGGGATGAGTGTGGAGAGGAGGTGTGTGTGTGGATGGGTGAGTGGGTATGAGGAGGGTGTGTGAGCAGGTGTTGGCGTGGTGGGGGGAGTATGGGTGGGACAAGGGGCATCTTACTTGCTTTCTTTCCTCTGGAGCTCCATCGGTAGCTGTGCCATGTGATCCTGGGGTGTGAATCTTCTGGGCAGTGTGCCCATGGGGGCCTTGCACTGAACCTTCTCAGTGTTTCAGGGGCAGTGATCCAGTCAGTGCAGACTCAGCACCTTCTGCTCTGGCTCCTGTAACGGAGTGAGAACATGCTTCTCGCTCTGGGCCTGTCTCGCTTTCAGTCCTGTCCCTTCTCCCTGTTGGCCGCAGATGGTTCCAGAACACCTCACTCCCAGCCTGTTAGCCTGACCATATCTGTGTGCCTGCTCTCATGCCATCACCTTGCTCCCACCTTGCTGTTTTTCTAACATCAAGCTGTGTCCCCTCAGGACCCCTCCCTACTGGATGGCCGAGTGACACTCCTCCATGTACCAGCAGGCACCGTGGTGTCACGGCAGGGGGACCAGGTGAGTCTGTGGCTGGGGATGAAAATGGCTTCCTTTTCATGAATGAACCTAGTCTCTGATCCTAGATTGCCTAGGGGCTGAGAGGAATGGTGGTGGCCTGGCCTCTGCTCCCAGGGTCAGTGTGGCTGGTGCTCCCTGCCCAGCCCTGAGCCAGATGCATAGCTGGCTCGACCAGACTCCGCTGCAGGGACCCGCTGTCATGGTAGATGGGCAGGCAGGAGGAGCAGGGACCTTGGGGGACATAGCCAAGTGTGGACGTGCATGATGCTAGAGGCCAACCTGCCTCGTCCCAGAGACAAACCAACTCAAGAGAGGCCAAAGCTCACCCCACAAAGTGCAGTCACATCTTCTCCTCTTCCCACCAGTACTCTTGACTTCTCTGCTCGAGTGGATAGCCCAGCACAACAGCCTCACAGCCCATACTTATAGCAAAGGGGATTGATAAAGAAGTAGAGGATATGACGCAGGGTCAGGCACCATGCAGGCAAATCTGGAAGGTTCCTTGGGGTGAGAGCACCCTTCATGAGGACAGCTCTCAGACCCCTCCATAAGAGAGGCTGGCCCTTCCTTCTGCCGTGGGGATCCCTCGGCTCTACAAGCCTCCTCTCAGCCCTGAGGGACAGGCCTCTCTGTCCTCAGCCTCTGTATGCTAACCCCCCCAGCTCTTAGTTAAGCAGCATCTTTGCTGGACTCTGTCTGCTGCACTGCAGCCCGTAGTGGTCTGTAGTCCCACGATTTTGCTGGGTCCCATCCCTAGTAGGCAATTGAGGTGCCCTTTGCATTAGTTGATTGACCAGTTCCTGCAGAGGGGACACCCAGCACAGGGCAGGCTGCAGCCCAGGTCCGGACACAGTAACAAGCCACACGTTTTTACCGCTAACCAGAAAATGTCCACCAACCTCGACAGAGTTATAGATCCTTTGGGATATAAATAAGGATGAAGGTGACTCCACAGAGTTAGGGGGAAAGTCTCAGGGAGATTGCTAGAGAAGTGAGGTGAAGGCTACCCCAACGAGCTTTTGTCACCTACATGGCCGTGACTTCACAAGAGAGGGCAGGGATGGGTATTTGGGCCATTCTGCCCCCCTTCCTCTGCTGCTCAATATGTCCTGGTGCTGGGCGTGCTGAGGGTCAGAGAGTGAGTGGGTATGAGGGAGTCAGGCGAGGGTCTCCCCAAGTTGGTGCTACTCAGCGAGAGGCAGGTGGGCCTCGGAGTGCTCCTGAGGTGGGAGGATTGAGGGAGCTAGGCCGCAGGACAAAGGTGGTACCGCTGTTACATGCCAGGGGTCCTGTGGAAGGTGTGCGCTGAGCATCTGGCCCAGTCTGGCCTCATGCACTCTCCCCATAGAGCCCGATCACCATAGTGCAGGGTTCTGAATCAGCCCTTCAGGACTGCCAAGGCCAGGCCCAGCCTGGGGTGGACCTCTGACAAGCCGACTGGGGCAGTGCTCTGGTCCAGGGCCCTGCTGCTGTGATGCTGATAGCCGTACTGTCTGCCTAGGATGTCAGCATTCTCTTCGTGGTCTCGGGGCTGCTGCATGTCTACCAGCGCAAGATCGACAGCAAGGAGGACACCTGCCTGTTCCTCACACGCCCAGGAGAAATGGTTGGCCAGCTGGCAGTGCTCACGGGAGAGCCCCTCATTTTCACTGTCAAGGCCAATAAGGACTGCTGCTTCCTCTCCATCTCCAAAGCGCACTTCTACGAGTGAGTGCTGCCCTGCGGGGCCTGCGGGTGTGGCTGAGGGCAGCATGTGCCAGCGTGCATCTCCAGTGGAGCGTGCACAAGAGCGCCGTATGTGCTCATGCACACGGTGACACATGTGTGTGTGAGCGTGTCTGTGTATGTCCATGGCAGCATGTGTACACACGTATGTGAGGGCACCAGTGTGTGTGACTGTGTCTGGGTATGTCTGTGTTCACATGTTGCTCTCTGGTTCAATTGAGTTTGTGCCCTAGGCTTCTGCAGTCCCCCAGGCACTCTGCACTGTGGGCTTCTAAAAGGTGATATGGCTGTGGCCCGCCCCTTCCCATCCCCCATCTGTAGAGACCCTGGTCCTCTGCCCTGAGGGCTGGTCACTTGAGCCTTCTGAGATGTACCTTCCCACAGTTGAGCCTGGTGGGCTCTTCATGCTCGGGGCCCTTGGTGACCTCGGCCGTGGGAGTCTGCTCTGTGGGCCACCACACAGTCAGGCTCTCTCACATGCCCCCTTTCCAGTGACTGAGCTCACTGGCCACTACCTTCTTGTTCTTGTTTGTCCCAGGCTCACTGAAAGGCCATGGCACCAAGGATGTCATGAGGTGTGGGCTACCTATCTGGCTGTGTTGAGATGGTCTTGAGGGGGTTGATGAGAATGGCAGGAAAGCTCCATTCTCTGGACTTGTGCAGCTCCCCAAGGAAGCTGGAGGCACAGCGTCCTGCTTAGTGCTCAGGACACTCCAGGTGTCAGGGGTCACTCACTGCTCCTTGGATTGAGCTCACACTTAGAGGACAGAGTCCTAGGGTAGGGAGGTGAGAACAGTGCGTCATGCCTCCCATGGAGCATGAAGTCGCTTGTATTCCTTTTTGGAAGCAAATTGGTCACTGACATGTCTTGGGCACTGGGCTGTGGTTCTTGTCACCCTGGTCCCTGGTTCTGGCCCCACATGTGCTCCATTGAGGTGGGTGCCCAGCCTGGAGGTTAAGACATCATCACTTGCTGTCTCCCAGGTCCGTGAGGTCAGAGAATCACTTGGCCTGCAGGCCAGTCCATCCTTGTTGGTCTTGGGAGGTAAAGGACCAAGGACCATCTCTCGTCCCATGTCCCCTCAGGAAGTTTGTGAGGCCTTGACGAGTCTGGCCAGCACCTGTCTGTGTTCACGTCCTCTGGCTGAACTAACAGCCTCCTTCCATCCCTTTTGGGTCACAGGAACAGCAATTAGAGGTCATGGGGACAGGTGTGCACTGGTGAGTGCCATCCTCACTGTCCCATCTCATTCTGAATTTTTGGGTGCTGACCATATCCCCTGGCATCTCTCTCTCCAGAGTGGGGGTCAGTGAATGCTGGGACACTTGTGGGGTTCATCTGAAGACTGAGTGTGGAAGTCATCAAGGTGTTGTGACATTTGTGGAGGTCGCCTAGGTGTCAGCTGAACCCTGGGAGTGTTTATGGGAAAGTCAGTTGAATTAGTAGCGGTTCTTGAACCTTGGTAGCCCGCAGTGCTATATACTGCGGTAGTAGGCTCTCGGGAGCAGCTGGTGACTAGCCCCTGCTGTGTCCTGACCCTTACCCAGCCACCGCTCTGCACACATACAGGTTTTGTGGTTTCTGCACTAGAAGGGAGAGAGCCTGGCCTCACAGCATCCAGAGTGTGTGGGCAGGGGCTGCAGTCTCCCTCCTGCTGGGCCTTTGCTCTCAGGGAGGCATCTGGGTAGGAGGAGTAGGAGCTGGCTCTGGAACAAGCTCTGGATGCCTGGCAGGATCATGCGGAAGCAGCCGACCGTCGTCTTGGGCGTGGCACACTCTGTAGTCCAGCGCATGTCCTCCTTCGTCCGGCAGATCGACTTCGCACTAGACTGGATGGAGGTGGAGGCTGGGCGAGCAGTCTACAGGTGAGGCTGCAACTGTGTCATGTACAGGTGTGCATAGTGCAGGTGTAAACTAGGCCAGCTGTGTGGTGGGCAGGCGAGGCCCATAGGTGTGCAGCAGGTGAGGGATACCATCCTGTAGAAGACAAGTGGGGCCCAGGCTGGTGGGGATTCTAGGTAAGGCTTTCCTCAGGCCTGGGCTGGGATGCCTCGCGACCCTTGTGGTGCTCGGATCCATCCTGTCTCATTGCCCCAGACCCAGTGAAATTATGGTGGTTGTTTCTGCCGTCTTTCTATGGCTGGCCTCTGCCCTCCCTCAGCCATACTACGGTGGGCACAGAAGCCAGGGACTGTGCACACCTGTGCTGGCTTAGTGTCTGCAGTGATAGGACATGACTGGACAGAAATGTATCTTCTCACAGAAGGTGCAAGTCTGCACTTCAGCTGACTCTTGAGAATAGTGTTCTCATAGGTCAGCACGAGGAGACGGTCCCTGTCCCCTCAGCTTGTACTCCTTGGTGATTTCACATGACAAGGCACCTTTCTCACTTGAGCTCTCTCCCTTAAACTCCCTCCCCTGAGCTCCCTCAGCTATGATCCCCCACCTGAGCTCCCCCCTCTGCTCCCTCCCCTGTGTTCCCTCCCCTGTGTTCCTTCACTGTGCTCCCTGACCTGTGCTCCATTACCTGAGCTCTATCTCATTTTTTGTCTCAAATGATTAGCTAGAGACACCCGCACTGATAGGTCCTCCCTGACTTAACAGAGAAAACCTTCTTTCCAAATGGGATTCCATCCACACATATGTCGTTACTGTTAGGTGCTATCAGGCAAGGGTACTATGGCCATTTATACGGGGTCATTGGTACTGTGATCACCTGTACAGAGTCAGGCATACCATAACCACTTGTACAGGGTAAGAGGTACCATGGCCACCTGTATAGGGTCAGGGGTACCGTGGTCTCCTGTACAAGGTCAGGGATACAGTGGTCACCTATGTTCAGGGTCAGTGGTACCATGGTCACCCATATGGGGTCAAGGTTACAGCTTTTATGTTTTGGGGAGTATAATTAGTTGGACAACAGATGCTGGGTTGTGAGGGGCTGTGCTGCCCCTTCTGCCCCCATGACCCCTTCTATGGACTATCTAGGACCCTCAGTCCAAACGGCTGGAGGCAGCTGGTCCCACTCTGACCCTTTTAAACAATAAAAAGAATAAAATGAGAACATAGTTTTTAAAAAAGAGGCACTCAGATCACGCAGGTGTACACACACACACACACACACACACACACACACTTTTAATTGAAGCATGAGCGCTGTGATACCCAAACTGAGGAGAAGCAGTAAGGATTGTCACCTGTGGGAGGGTAAACACAGCTTCCAGTGCTCAGTCTCCTCGGGGGTGTTTTCTTAGTTGAAAAAGAGAAAACCAAGGTAGAGATAAATGGCAGGGTCCAGAGACAGGGGCAGCCTGAGGGTAAGTCAAGGACACTGAGGCAACGACTGCAGGATCTCTCTGGGTTGACAGTCAGCTGCCACAGCTGGCCAAGCATTTCACTGTACTTCCATGGGGACGCCTCCAGGCAAGATGCCAGGACCAACGAAGAAAAGAGACCAAGGGAAATTAAAGGGAAAAACCCACCTGCAAGCCCTCCAGCCGTCCCAGCAAGGGGAAGACGCCCAAAGAGCAGGCGCTCTACAGCAACTGCTCAAGTTAAACAGGAAGGTGAAGGTGAACCAGACCAGCGAGGACCAAGAAATGAACACAGTTACCTTCAGCTCCAAGAACAGCCAATGAACCATCAGCGCAGGGCCAGGGACCCCAACTTCTAGGCCTTTGCTTGGTGCGGGGCCACCCACCTACGCTGACCCTGGGGTCCATCAGTGGGCCGGTTTCAAATAAAACAACACATGTGGAAAACAAAAGAAAGCTGAGGTGGGGCAGCCCTGGGCAGAGGCCTCAGCAGGCACTTCACAAAGGGACTGGCCCTGTGCTCGAGGAGGTCCACTGTCTATGGGGTTCCCTTTCTGAACACAACATGAGTAGAAATAAGGGAACACCCCCTGGGGGTGTGCACTTGGCCATGGACATCCACTGATTCCTTGTCTCAGAGCCAGGTGTCTGCCTCGCTCATGGGCCAGCTCGATCCCTGTACCTGGCTCATCTACTAGCTTATCTTGGTCTCAGTACATATGGGCAGGTGGCCGAGGCACCTTCGCAGAACCACCCAGGGACAGCTGCAGCAAACACAGGTGGAGTGTGCTTGTGAGGGTTGGAAGAGACCAGTGGCGGGGGTGGCTGGGGCTGCAGTGACCCTGGGCCAAGTTCCTCCTTCTTCCCCTCACTGGCCCCCTCTACCTTCAGACAGGGGGACAAGTCTGACTGCACCTACATCGTCCTCAGCGGCAGGCTACGTTCAGTCATCCGCAAAGATGATGGGAAGAAGCGCCTGGTGGGAGAGTATGGCCGGGGAGATCTGATTGGTGTGGTGAGCCTCGTGGCTTCCCGCAGGAGCCACGCTGGGTCAGAAAATGGGGAGGGCACCCCTCTCTGATCAGCTCTGTTCTGACCTCTGACACCTGGTATATGTGCCCTGGAGTCAGTTTTAGGGGCTTGTCTGGGGGAACCTGGGTCTCTGAGGGCCTTGCCTTCCAGGTGATGGGCTTGCTCCCAGGCTGGGCAGTCTCATAGTTGGACAGGTAGGAGTCACGGCCAGTGGTCTCCCACAGCCAGTGAGCAGGATAGTGGAGGTGGTGTGGTACAGTGCTCAGGGCCCATGTCTCTGTCTGTCCCCACATAAATGTGGACATCAGGCCAGCCTGGAGGCAGTCTCTGTCCTCATGTGAGGGGATACCCTGGTCTCTGTTTTAGTAGAGGAGATGCTGCCCAGGGAAAGTGTTGCCTCCAGTGCTGACTAGGCTCCCCTGGCCACCTTACGAAGCCAGCGCCCAACATTTAGCCCCCAGAAGAGGGAGTGTCTGACAAGGACTATGGTCCTTCCCATGGGCAAGCCGTTACAGGACACTGTCCAGAGCTGTCCCTTCTTGCCCCCCGCCTTGTGACCAGACACCTAGCACAGACTTTGGGGATGATCTGAGAGACAGGGCATGTTCCACCATCATGCACACAGCCACTTTCCAGAGCCCTAGTGTGAGGCTTACCCCACTTGTCCAGCCCTCCACTGCCCTCAGGAGTGGTCTGAGTAGCTGTGCTATCTGGCATCTCGCCCAGGTGGAAACACTGACTCATCAGGCCAGGGCCACCACGGTGCATGCTGTACGGGACACAGAGTTGGCCAAGCTGCCCACAGGCGCCCTGACATCTATCAAGCGCAAGTTCCCTCAGGCAAGGATGTGGCCCCAGCTGGCCAGGCCAAGACACAGCATATTCATGCTGGGCAATGTGGGCAGAGGGGCAGGGCACAGACACAAGAGCTTTGGGGTAGGTGAGGTGGGCTGGGTGGGGTGACTGCCCCTGGCTGCTGGGAGTCGCTTTATGACTTCCCCTGTCCAGGCCAGGTCAGCGTTCCTCACAGCCAGGGCCTTTTGCAGAGATAAATCAAATGTCCCTTCCCCAAATCTATCATTGTGGGAATGTTCCAGGGCTCTGCCCTCATCCGTCACCCAATGTCTGGCTGAGATGTCTCCTCTGCCCAGGTGGTGACCCGGCTGATTCACCTCTTGGGCGAGAAAATTCTGGGCAGCCTCCAACAGGGACCTGTAGCAGGTGAGCCCCACCACTCCCAGGTGGAAAATCCTCAGATGATGCACTCCCAGGTGGGACACCCCCAAGTGAGATGTCTCCAGGTGAGGTATCCCCAGGTGGTAGACCTCCAAGTAAGACATGCCCAGGTGAGGCCTCCTCATGTGGGACGTCCTTAGGTAGGAAACCTCCAGGTGGCAAATCTCCAAGGTAAAAACATCCCCAGGTGAGACACCCCAGCCTCCATCACAGGCGTGCTGCTGCTCTGAGGGAGGAGGTGCAGCCAGAGGGTGGGGCAGCTGGCCCACCTCCAGGAAGTATACACTGATGTGAGGACAGCAGTGCCATTTACAATAGCATCAAAGGAGAGAAAGAAGATGCAGGTCTGTCCTCAGAAAACCAGAGAGCGTGCTGGGGCTTGGGCTGTGGGCCCAGGGCTTGGTGCTGGTTCTGCACCTGCACAGCAGGTGGACCCTCTTCCTGTGCATCTGCCCCAGGCTCTTCTGTGTGGTGGTTTGTGTTTCTGTACCTTGCTGGGCTTGTTGGGTTACCCACTTGATTGATCATTCCACTGCTTTTCCTGTTTTTTGTCTCTTCTGTCTTTTCCTGGTTCATTACGTTTGCTTTTCCCCTTCCTCTTTGTTATGCTGCTTCAGGTTAGTGTTCCTTTCCATCCCCTTTAGGTGGAAGCACAGAATCTCCAAGGGAGAGAAGGGAGGCATCCTTTCTGACATGAGCGCTATAGTGCTGCTCTGCTCTCCATCCAGCGGAAGCTGTCTCTGAGCCTCTGGCTTTACTGGCCTTAGATGGCCTCTCATGCCCCACACATTGTTTGAATGACAGAAAAGCATGTTTCTGGGCATTCAGAAGGTACCCGCACGTTGGTGGCATGTGGGTTCACAGAGCTGGTACCCTGGGTCAGCCAGCAGGTTGCCCTGCGAGGCTCAGGCCACATGTGAATGTCCACGTGGATGGTCTGCCTTGTCCGAGTTCTGTGAGTTTTTTCAGGACACTGAGAACCATGGGCACATCCTGGGGCCGAGCCCTGCAGGACTGACCTCTCTGTGCTGTGTCCACAGGTCACCAGTATGGGCTCCCCATGGTGAGCACCCAGTGGGACATGGGGAACCCCGCTAGCAACCTCGCCACAGTGGCAATCATGCCAGTGTCGGAGGACGTGCCACTGCCTGCCTTTGCCCTGGAACTCCAGCATGCCCTGCATGCCATTGGTGAGCCAGCTATGCACCTTGCCTCCCCTTGGTGTGCCCACAGCCCCTCCCTGAGCCCTGCAGCCCCTCCACCCCTAGGCCCCTCAACAGCACCTCCACGCCCTATAGCCCCTCTGTGCCCCTCCCCAAGACCTGTGGTCCTGTCCCACTCCCAGAGCCTCTGCTGCTCATAGAACCTCTGTCCCTCTACACCCCCACTGCTCCTCACTGTACCCTGCGCCTGTGCCTCCCAGAGCACCCACCACGCCTGTGCCCTAGGTGACAGCCCTGCCTTGCTCTACTCCACGAAGTACATTTGTATGAATGCTCCTGTGTCAGCCATGAAGGCAGGGCCTAGGTTGGTCTAGATCTTCTCTGGACTCTGGATGATCTGAGCTGGGGACTGTATTGGACACTGGATGAGGACTTCATGGCCACATCCCTCTGGAACGTATCTGAGTACCTTCTGGCACAGAGGTCTCTCAGATCCCATGTTAACGGGCCGTCGTCGCAAACTGCATAATTCCATTGTGGGTTCTCCACACAAGTGAGCGTCTTCACTCCTGAGCTAAGGGGAAGACAACTCTCCTGATGCTGGGCTACCCCAGGAGGTTGGGGTGTTCTCCCAGAGACTCAGTGCCCGTCCTGTTGTGCCCACTGCCCCAGGGACACACACAGTGCTCCCACAAACAACGGATCTTGACCCAGGCCTATCCTGCCCTACCCTCACCATCTCTGATAGGCTCCAGTCACTGTCTTAATCCATCTTGTTGAGGGTCTTCCTCGCTTTCTCTGACCCTCCAACCTTTCCCAGCATGATGTCTTTTTCCAGGAGGTGGCCCCTCCTGACATGATGACCAAAATGTATGAGATGAAGCTTCACTATCCTTGCCTCTAAGGAATACTCTGGTTCCACTTTCTCCAACATGGACTTACTTGTTCTTTTGGCAGTCCATAAGGTGTTCAGTGCTCTTCTCCGACACCACAGCTCAAAGATATCAGTTCCTCTGTCATCCTTACTCATTGCCCAACTCTCAGATAGATTGAAAAGACCTGAATCAAGTGCACCATAGTCTTCAAACTGTCATACTTGTCACTGTCCAACCTTCAGATGCGTAAGAAGCCACTGAACATACAGTAGCTTGGATCAGGTGCACTTTGGTTTTTTAACTGACATCCTTGCTCTTCAGTACTCTGGAGAGGTTCTTGACAGCAGACTTTCCCAATGTAACACATCTTTCGATATCTCGACTGCTGGTACCAGTTATGTGGATGATGTTGACTGTTACCTATCTAGTGGTGAGGATTTTTGTCTTCTTAATGTTGAGATGTAATCCATATTGAAGATTGTATACTTTGATCTTCAAAAATGGCTTCAAGTCTTTTTCACTTTCTGCAAACAAGATTGTGTCCTCTGCATAATGTTGGTTGTTGATGAGTCCTCCGCAAATCCTAATGCCACATTCTTCTTCATATAGTCCAATTTTTTGAGTGATATACTCAGCGTACAGATAGAATTGGTATAAAGGATACAGCCTAGACACACACCTTTGCTCATTTTAAACCTTGCAGTATTCTCTTGTTCTGTTTGTGCAACTGCTTCTTCAGCTAAATATAGGTTTTGCATCAGCTCTATTCAGTGTCTTGAATTCTCATTCTTCTCAGTGTTAGCCCTGATTTCTTAGGATCCATCCAGGTAAATGCCTTTGCATAATCAATAAAACACAAATAAACATCTTTCTGGTGTTCTTCACTTTCAGCCAAGATCCAACTGTTACCAGCAATGATATTCCCTATGCTATGGCCTCTTCTGAATCCAGCGTGAATTTCTGGAAGTTCTTTATTGATGTACTATTCTAGCCATTTTTAAATAATCTTCAGCAAGATTTTACTTGCATTTGTTATTAATGATTGTTATTGTTGTTTCTTGAAATTCTTCTGTGTCAGCCAGTTGAGTATGACTCACAGTGACCCCATGAACAGCAAATCTGAACCCTGTCCTGTCTTGTGCCATCCTACAATCTCTGATACACTCCCAGCCCATTGCTGTAGTAACTTTGTGAGGCAACCTGGTGGAGGGTCTTCTTGTGCTTTGCTATCCCTCCACTTTTCCAAGCATGATGTCCCCCTCCAATAACCTCGCCTATCAACATGCAAAGTACATGAGACAGAGCATCATCATCCTAGCAGTCTGGCTGGTTTGTGTTTTTTTTTGGGGGGGTGTTCTCTTTTTCTTTTTTTTCTTTCCTGTTGTGTACTTGCAAGTCAGATCTGACTGGAGGAAATTACCCCTCATTCTCCAGCAGAACATCTGATGGATTCAAACTGTGCTCTGGCTGTTTTTATCTGTTGTTCTTTCGGCAATCCATAGGATATTCAGTACACTTCACGAACACTACAATTCAAAGTCATCAATTTTTCTTCTGTCATCCTTATTCCTTGCCCAGCTCTCAAATGCATAACAAATAATGGTAAAGATGATGGCCTAAATCAGGCACACCTTAGTCTTTAAGCTGACATCATTTCTCTGTAGAATCTTGAAGAAGTATTTGACAACAGACTTTCCCAATGCAGCACATCTTTTGATTTTTTTTAAATAAAATTATAATGTTAATGAAAGTTTATAGAAAGGTTGGGTTTTCATTCATTAATTCATTCATTGTTGCACATTTTCCTCCCTCCCCCTCCCTTCTTCTGCTCCTAGTCCACTTTGCAGAGCACTCTTGTTCAAGATATACCTAATCATATATTACTGTCAGACGGTTCTTTCTCTCATTGTTCCAGTGCAGTGTTCATTATCTATCCACTCTTTTTCTATTCTCCCCCTAACTTCCTATGTCAGTCCTATTTTATAACAGCCGTGTTATGCAGTATTTGTCCTTTTGTGACTGAGACATTTCACTCAGCATAATGTCTTCCAGTCTCACCAACGTAGGAACTCTAGAAGCCCAAATCTATAGCATGACCAGACTTCCAAGCATAGTGAAAAATATAACTAGGAGAGAATAAAATAGATGAATGTGATCTTCAAAGAAACAAATCCCTGTGCAGAAAAAAAAAACCCTTACCTTATGATTTTTTTATTCCTTGCAGTCTGTTTTTAAATTTTATTTTATACTGATGTGCCTACAGAGTTCGTATGCATTGTCCCTCACACCAGATCCACCTCACATCCCTACCCCAACCCCTATCAAACTGTGCAACCCCATGATAACCTACTGCCTATCCCCAGCCCTCTGCTCCCCTCTCCCCCCACCTTTAGATCCTCATACACGTTTTACTAGTTATCTATTTCTACCATAATGGTCTTGTACAGTATTTGTCCTTATGGTGCTGAGTTAGTTCACTTAGCATAATACTCTCCAGTCCCTCTTAAGTTAGATCGTGATTTACAAAATTATTGCTCCTATGTGTAGTGTAGTATTCCAGCCTGTGAATGTACCATAATTTTTCAGTTCATTAGATTGTGGTTGGACATCTGGGCTGTTTCCATGCTCTTGTGATGGTGAATAGCACTGCTATGAAAATTGGTGTACAAGTCTCTGTTTGTGCCTCAGTTCTCATTCTCTCGGGGTATATTCCAAGCAGTGGAATAGCTGAGTCTTACGGAATTTCTATGTTCAACTTTCTGAGAAAAGGCTAAACTCCTTTCCAGAATGGTTATACCACCGACAGTGTATAACATTTCCTATGTCATACATTCCTATGTCTCTGATGAACTTTATGGTTTTTGGCTTTACTCCCAGATCTGTTCCACCTTGAGGTGATTGATTTTTGTTTGTGGTGTGAAATATGGATCCTGTTTCAGCTTTCTTCAGGTAGCAGTCCAGTTTTGGCAGCGCCATTTGTTAAAGAGGTTGTCATTCCTGCATTTGGTAGATTTTATTTCCTTGTAGACTATCAGTTGACCATAGATAGCTGGCTCCATTTCTGAGTTCTCAGTTCTATTCCATTGCTCTATGTGCCTGTCATTGTACCAGTACTATGCTGTTTTGGTTACTACCACTGTGTTACAGATTTTGAGGTCAAAGAGTGCTATGCCTCCCACTTAATTTTTGTTTTTCAAAAGTGCTTTGCTTATTTGAGGTCTCTTTCCTTTCCAAATAAACTTGATTGTTGCAGTCAAGGGTAAAGTAATAATGAGACAGATAACTAAGAATGAGATAAGAGAGTAAAGACAGGGGGCCAGCAGTCCTGACGACTGAAGCACCCAAGCCCTGCCTCTCTGTATTTATTGAGAATTATCAGGAAGGTAAACAAAGGATAATCACAAGGGAGTAAAAAACAAAAACAAAGGATCATGGGTAAGTCTTTTGCAGATAAGGTGGAGCTCTTCTCTATTGTTTACCTTATGCTAATCTCAGGAGGGAGGGATTCAGTAAATAAAAACTAAGAACATGTTGACTCTTAAGGAATGCCTTAGTGCCTCAGAGTGAACTCCAGCTTGTATTACGCCCCCCTTATATCCTAATATAGCATTTGGTTTATTATTAATATTAAATTTGATATTTGGCTTTCTATACTTGATACTTTCCCTTTCAATCTCCTTAAAAAATGAATTTGGTATCTGTATTGGGATTGTGTAGAACATGTAGATTGCTTTTGGTTATATTATTGTTGTTGATTGCTGTTGAGTCAAGCATGACTCATAGTGACCCTATGAACAAAAAATATGAGTCCTTTCTGTAACTATCATTGTTTCTCCAAGTTCATAGAGTTTCCAGAGGCATGTGGTTTAGGAAGTGAATGCCACTCCTTTTTCTAAACCTGTTTTAAACTGGGAGCTCCACCAAACACTGTCCACCAAGGGCAGCCATTATGGTATTTGAGATCCCAATGGCACAACGTTTAGTGTCACAGCAAACCCAGATTACCTCAGCACAGCAAATTGACAGATGAGTGCTGAACATTTTAGAAGAATGTTCCTCCAAAATACAGTAACAAGAGATTAAAATATAATCCCTCAGGGCCCAACTTTTAAATACAAGGACCCTCCAGGAGGTCTTGTTGTCTCTAAACAA